ATGCAAAAGAGCAAAACTAGAAGGAAAATGAAGAATTTCGGATGTCCCAAATGCTGGAAATGAATATGAATTTATAGGCAACAAGGCGACCTTTGAAACTACCTAAACCGGTAGAAATTTGAAGTGAACAGGTGCTGGATTCAAACTAGACAGATCTGCTGCTAGTTTTTGAATCTGTTCGGCAGTTATGGATCTGTAACTATTGGGCAGTTATTACCACTGTTAAAAACAGTTTAAATTGCTAGAATTCGGACTGGAAGAGGCACAATTATTGGACAGAAAAATTGAATTCAAATAATTTCCTACAAGAATTTTTTTTTGAAAAAATTCAAATAAATTTTGTCAAAAAAAAAATTAATGTTAAAACCGAACCGACCCACACCCGGCACAGCTGGCCAGACAGACAGTGGTGGCAGCGCGTGCACTTGTGGTGGTTTGGGCTAAGGTTTCATTTGTCCATAATCCGTTCTACAAACTTGGGGTGCCCCTTGGGGCCCAACCCAAGTGTTGCAAACTAGAACTTATATACATATACAAGCTCTTTTAAAGTTTCAATGTGAGACAACTCATTTCGAGGAAACCCATATTTAATTCTTTAAATGTCCATTCCATGAACCCGAAAACGACGTCATATTCCTATTCACTCATAAATGGTTTTGACGAACCGTCTTCACCGTGTGACTTCCCATGCGGCAAAGAACACGTCACCTCTTTGGATCCACCCCAAAAGACGTTTGGGACCCACTCAAATTTGGGCTCAAAGTTGGCTTAAAATAAGTCTATAAAAACCAATTTTTCAACAAGTGCTACATGGAATATTCCTTTAAATATGGTATTATGGGATGGATGCTAGTGTACATGCACTCATAACACAGCACACACCCACAAGCGCGTGGCATGGGCAGTGTTTGTGTGGTGTTTGATGGCACACTTTGTACTTAGCACAGATGTATTGATGTAAAGCGCTGTCATGAGGGTGTTTTCCTATTTGCATCGGACAGGTTAAAGCAATGGCGTGGATCCAATGTGGCATAGGTGAAGTGGAATACAGTAAGCTCCACGTGGCAATGACATGGCGTCCATTGACGACAAGTCAACCAACCGATTGAACGGTTGCGTATCTGATCTAGAGCAATTTGATCATAGCCGTTGATTGGAGATACGCGCAATCGTATGAATGAGATGGTATCCGGTCGTGATCAAGTGCAATTAGTCAAGGCATCTATTTGGTGTGAGAATGATCTACACTGTAGATCATCGATCTAACGGTCAGATTTAATCGGATACGATCAAGGCACATGAGCATTCAATCAGATGCATCAAGGCCTATAAATAGGCTGTGAAATCAGTCATTTCAATCCATCCAAAATTTCAGAAAGCGTTCCTACAATTCTCTCTCTCTCGATTTAGAATTTTTTGATCAAGAGTTTCTTAAGAAAGTTTTTGCTTTTCTTATTGGTAATCAAATTTTGAAGACTTGATTATCAGTGTCTTGGTTTTCTTGATTATATCAAGAGTATTCAGATCTACTATCGTCAATGCAAACACCGGTAGACTTGATCTCTAGATCAGGCTTCATTGTATCTTGGAGACGAATTTGCTATAACCCCCTACACACTTTTTGGTGGGTGCAAATATTGTCTTTAGGAAAGTAACTAAGTAATGCGACTTGAAACATTAAATATTTGCTTTAACATAAACAAGTTCATTGCTAAGTTTTTAAGACCCGAAGACCACCAATTGTAGAATTCAAGACGAATTGTTCTAATATTCTAAAGACAATATTTGGATATGGCGATGTCTATTCAAAAAATGACTCAAGATTTCATGAAGCTTGACTAGTTTGATGGCAGAAATTTTTGACACTGGCAAAAGAAGATGCACTTTTTGCTCACCACTCTCAAAGTGGTTTATGTGCTAACTACCCCCTATCCGGTGGAGTAAGAAGACAACACTATAGAGCAAACTCGTACCAGAACCAAATGGGAGAATGACAACTACATTTGCCGAGGACACATTCTGAATGCGCTGTCAAATTCTTTGTTTGATGTGTATCAATATCTGGAAATGACAAAGCAACTATGCAACATATTACAGTCAAAGTACCTCACCAAGGATGCCACCTGTAAAAAATTTATTGCTAGTAATTTTATGCGTTTAACTGTGATTGATACAAAGCCCATTATGAAACAATTTCATGAGATCCAACATATTCTGAATCAATTTCGACAAAAGAATATGAACATGGATGAATCTATTGTAGTTTCATCTATAATAGAGAAACTGTCATCTTCTTGGAAGGATTTTAAGAAAACTTTGAAACACAAAAAGAAAGATATAACTTTAGAGGAATTGGCTCAACACCTCCAAGTTGAGGAAGAATCAAGACTTCTTGAAAGTAAAGAAAACCAATTTGCTCAGACTTCCAATATTAATATGGTGGATGATGGCAAGAGGTTCAACAAAAAGAAGCGTAAGCGTGACCCCCAACCTGAGAAAGATGTTAAGAAGCCGAAAGGCGCTTGCTGGCATTGTGGCAAGCCAGGGCACTTTAGAAATGAATGTCGGTCATACAAGAAGAAGCCAGAAGCATCAAATACCAAGAACAAGTTCGTGGCTATTGTATCCGAGGTGAACATGCTCGAAGATGCTGGTGACTGGTGGATTGACTCAGGAGCAACAAGGCACGTCTGCAACGACAAGAGTTGTTTCACTACTTATGAACAAGTGAGTGATGGAACAATTCTCTACATGGGCAACTCTTCAATTGTTGCTATCAAAGGCAAAGGGATGGTGGATCTAGAGTTCATATCTAGAAAAGTCTTTAGTCTTAATGATGTTTATCATGTACCAGATGTCAGGAAAAACCTTGTATCTGGAAGCCTACTTAATAAGCATGGTTTCAAGGTAGTATTTGAGTCGGACAAATTTGTCATGTCTAAGGAATTTTTGTTGGGAAGGGCTACATATATCAAGGAATGTTCAAACTTAACATTACCAACAATACATCTACACTACAAGAAATTGCACTTTTGGCAACTACTTTTGGCGACGACGTCAATTTTTCATCGCCAAAAGTATATTTTTGGCGACACAGTGATCAATTTCGTTGGTAAAAGTATACCTTTACCGACGCAATTTGCTACTGTCACTAAAAAAGCATAACATTCACTAAGCGCCAAAATTTTTAGTTCGCACCAAAATTTCAAAACTTTAGCTACGGGACTTATATTTTAGCAACACAATGAGCGTTGCTATTAGTGTGCTTACTTCTGGCGACGACAAATTGGCGTGGGTAAAGAGTTAACCATTTAGCGATGATAACACTATTCGTCGGTAAAAGTTTTGCTAGTGAAATAAAGTAATTTAGTGATTGTGCTTTTATTATAACTTTTCAAAGAGTTTTAAATATTCTAGTTACTGAATTGTAAAATTAAAGTGATTATTGAATTAGATCACAAAATGAACCCATTAAGCCCAAACACACTTTTAAGTTGAGAAGACTAATTGGAGATAATTTAAACTTTTTTCAAAGAATGTGGTTAGATTATCAATTTCAATATGTTGGGTTTTATTTTCAGAAACTAGTTTCAACTTTCTTTTTCTAAAAAACAAAAAACAATTGGGTGAAAAATAAAAAATACTTATTATTTTTGTATAATTTTATCTTTTAAGTCATAAATACTTTTTAAAATTTTAAAAATATAGTTTTGATTTTTATTGCTCTCAAATTAATTTTAATTTTTTCAAAAAAAGAAAACCCTAAAAATTGTGTTGAATTGTTTTTCATAGCCAACTCTATTGACTTTCTGCGTGAGATTCATCACCTTCCTTAGTTTTCCCCACCTTCGCGCAACTCATCTCCTCTCTCCTTCCGTCACCACCGCCGGTGAGCATGGCTTCTTGTCGTCACCGGCCTCTCCATAATAACTGGTATGTATATCCTCCTATTTCTCTCTCTCGGTAAACCCTAACATTTATAATTTTTCCCTCTTTTCCTTATATTTGCCCTAGCCCCTTCATAAACACTGATCGGTCTCTTTGCTCTCCCTATCTGTCTCTCACAGTAATATGACTAACATGAATCTTGAAGGTACTCTCTTCAATTTCTTCTTTTGAATTTTAGCCCCTGTTCTCTATTCAATTTCTGGCTTTATTTTTATTTTTTTTTTGAATTTTTCTCTGTATCAGTTTTTATTGATTGATGCATTCTGTTCCTTCTTTATTTTTTCAGAATTCATGTTCAATTTGATGTGTTGTTAAATTATATATTTTTTTATGTTCAGCTGTTTCTTTCATTGGATTTTGTAGGGGTTCTAGTCCGGGATCTGTAGTGATTGAGCTCTGAGAGTAAGTTGATTAATCACTTTTTTATAGCTTTGATTTGCTGCGTTTTTTTTTTCTTCTTCTTCTTTCTCTGTTGTAGTTCATTTTTTGTTTGGTTGCTGAGAAAAGGAAATAAGAAAATTCAATGAGATTTCGTACTGTAGTTTTTTGAAATAGCTTGACTTCGAAACTTAAATTAAAGCTCTATAAAATTCCCAACAAGAGACGGGCCTAGTTAGGTATTAGAGTTGTTCAATCTATTGTCTTGGAACTAAGAAATAGTTATATGTGACTGAATTGATTAGAGTTGTCATTTGAGAGCATCTAGTCTATTGATCGTTGGAAATCTTAGAGGTTTTTTTGTAAAAGCAAAAAGTTGAGAAGAATCTCAAGTGCTAGAAATCTTTTTCAGCGAAGTGTTGTTAGTACATTAAGTTTTGTTTATATGTATTACCAGAGGCATTAAATATATGTTATTTGAGAACTAAATGTGCTTCTTTTTGGCTTTTTGAATTTGATGTTCCTGTCATGTATTGGATATTTGTCGTCTAATATATATGCCTTAATCTAATTAATTACCCTTAATTACATTACACAGGGAAAATGAAATGTGTCATCTATTTAATTTTTTCCTTAATTACATTCATGCAGGGAAAAGGAACGTTGAGTAGATCCTCAATGATGTTCCCTCTTGCCCAAAGAATGGATACCCTTAATGATTTACTTGCTGCAAGTGACCTTATTTCTCTTCACTGTGCTTTGACAAATGAAACAATTCAAATTATTAATGCAGATTGTTTGCAGCATATAAAGCCTGGTACTTTCCAGGGTTTCTTCCGTTTAGTACATTTATTTTATAAAGAAAAATACTGGGATTCCTATAATTTGCACTTACAGGGGAGTGCCTTGATCTATGCAGGGGCATTTCTTGTGAATACAGGTAGCAACCGGCTATTGGATGATTGTGCAGTAAAGTAGTTTCTGATTGATGGTACCCTTGCAGGCTGTGCTCTGGATGGTGCTGAAGGACCACAATGGATAGAAGCATGGGTATGATGAGTAGCCTTAGGGTATGAATTACAAGATGATAAAATGTTTGTTAAGAGTATGTATGTTATCTTCTAGGTAGGACTTTCTGACATGATTTTTATGGTTGTGTGTGATTGCTTGGCTGATGTTGGTTAAATTAAACCCTTTTTCATTGTGCATTGTTATGGGTTAAAATAAGGCATATTTATGAAGAGGGTCATGTTATTTGATGATGGCACAGTTTTGGTTGTGTTTTTTTACAATGCTTCACACATGTTTGCATAAATTCCCCACTCAAACTACATATTATTTTTCTACTTCTGTTTATTTTGGTTAACTTCATTCACTATCTTCTTCGACTATTTTAGTACCAATAAAAAGGAAAAAGAGATATGATTGTTTAGATTGTTATTTGTAATGTTTCCAATGCAGTTCCTTTTGAATTGACCATGTAATTTGGTTGTATTATTAATGCAGGAGCCCCTCAAAGTTTCTAGACTTTCCAAGGAAATTATTAAAGTTTCTTCTGATTATCATCACTCCTATGCCATTACAGGTTCATATTTCTTGCTAGATACTTCATTTATCATGGTTTCATGGGGCCCAAGAATATTTACATGTTTTTCAATCTATATTCACAATTCATGCTACTTTATAGAATATTATAATATCTAATCAGTGTTTTAAGCTTTCGTCCTTTTGATATTATTTTGAACTCCCTTTCCTTCCACAATGTAAAATGCTACATATGCAAATTAAATCTATTTTCTAGTTTCAGTTTTTGACTTCTCATTTATTCAAGTCTACTTTAACACTTAACAGCTATCCATCTTTGATCATTAAATTATTATGCATATTTAATTAGTTAATGCTATTCATTTGTTGTTGTGTGTAAAGTTTTGATTTTAATAAAATCAAAAGCATCTATCCTTGTAAGTGTAGATTTACAAATTTGAACATACTAAATTCTAAATATAGAATTATTGTTTGACTACAATAATAGTGATTGGCAAAAGCTCTCGATAGTGTATCATGAGCAGAGCTTCAAGGCGTCCACAATGTTACTCTCTACACATACAGGAGTTTGGTTCGGTTCCTCTGTAACTCCCCACCCCAATATTGTCACATCTCTTAAATTTCAAACTAAACCCAAATCTTTAAGGCTTCATGCCTCATCCTCAGTCTTCAATTTCCCTCTCGCAAGCAAGATCATGGTTAAAAGTATGTTTTCATCTTCCTTTTCTGCTTTATATATGTAATTTATGTTGATATATATCTATAACATATATAAAAAGTGTGTAAGAGGGGTATAACGCTACCGCCTCCAGTGATATAACGCTCCTGTTTGCTTGGTTTCTAACTCTTTCCTTGCAAATTTTGGGCTAGACACGTGGGCTTCAAATCATCCACATACATAATAGAAGAAGAAGACAAATTTCACCACTTTTCCTAGAAATTTCCAAGACCGACCGGTGCTCCTGTTACTTGCCTATTTTCCAGAGCTTATCTATTACAACTCACCCATGCTAATCTTTTATTACAACTCATGAAGAGGTCTCTCATATTGAGAGCTTGGACTATGAGTAAAAACATCTTACTCTGTTCTTGGATTCTAATGTTCCTTTTTCTTCTTCACATTCTTCTTTATGCAACAAATTCTTTTTATATAGGATCAATGAGAATGATCTCTTCAAGCATGACTGGAGAAGCAGATCAAAAGTCCAAGTATTGCAGTATATTTTCTTAAAATGGACGCTGGCTTTCCTTGTTAAGCTTCTAACTGGCATAATTGCCACGTTCATCAATCTTGCAGTCGAGAATATTGCAGGGTACAAGCATCTCTCCGTGGTTCGCTACATAGAAGAAGAAAGGTATTGTATATCCTTGCACTAAATTAAGAAACTCATTTGAAATATTTTCAGCTAACAGATAATTCTCAAATATCCTTCACCCAAAAAAAAAAAAAAATGTTTACCTTGGCTAGAGCTGGGAATTGAGAAAATGCTTTGGCAATCATCTTGGTGTATGTTGGTACCTGATGGGATTTATATTTTTTGCTGGTGTTAATTTTATTCTGACCATGGTTGCTGTTGTTCTGTGTCTGTGTTTCACACCCACTGCGGCTGGACCTGGTATCCCAGAAATCAAAGCTTATCTCAATGGGGTAGACATTCCAAACATGTTCGGTGCTACAACATTGATTGTCAAGGTGAGTGACATTCTACAATCACTTGGAGAGCACTATGAATACTTGTTTCTTACTTAGGATCATGTTTTTCAATTTCTTTTGTTTGCAGATGTTGGTATTGGATTTGTACGTTTGTGTGTTAAATCAGTGTTTATTAATATGTATACCTTGCACACATTGTGTTTGACAAAATGCCTATAAGAGAAAACTTATTATGTTCATGTGCTTATGACATTTATTGCCAATGAAATTGGTTTATTTTATTTTATTCCTCAATATCAAAGCATAACGAATTAACTTGCCTGTTCTTGTCTTATAGGACTTTGAATGGTTATTTTTGCTATGGTTTCATATGGTTTCCTTCATGCTAAGTTTCTCTTGGCAGGTTTTAAGGTTTATATCAATCATGACAAAGTTGATACTTGTGAAAGTTCACAATGTGAAGTGAGTTCAAGCACAGATAATTAACGAAATCTTCCCGATGGTATTTGTAAACCAAAGTATAACTATTAGACTTGTTGAAAATATGAACACGAATATATTCACTTAAAACCCATATGCTTTCAGCTACAAAGATAGAATTCTGAAGGTGCCATGTTTTATAGGAACTGAAAATTCAGGTCAGTAATGCAATAGAAAAATTTACTTGTTTATGTTATTTGTTTTTAGAAAAAATTTATTTATCTTAATTTTTACGTGTTAATGATGAGATAATATTACTATCACATTAATTTTTTTACCTTAATTTATATATTATCTTCCACAATAAGAGGAAACGGTTTTGACATCTTTTCTTCCCTCCCTCTTTCTAATCACTGAGTTTTTTATTTTTATTTTATTTTTTGAATTTTTTCTTTGTTCTGCAGTGGAAGGCTCTCATTCAATGTAACAAAATTTGTAGGAGTAGAGAGAAGAGAATCAAACAAACAACAAAGAAAGGGAAGAGAGAGAGAGAGATATATAAATTTAAATGGCAGATTGCAGGCCATTGGGTTTCTTGGTAGGATTGCCATTCGCTTTCATTGCTTTGCTTCTCTCTCTTGGGTTTCTTGGTAAGATTTTAATGTCTTTATTTGGCATTTGTCATTACATAATTTGATGAGGTGGAAATGTTAATCATTTGATGGATTTATTTTTCAAATGGACTAAAGCAAGTTATATAGAGTCTTATGTTGATGCCATAGTGTTAGACTCCACTTTCAGCTTTTTTTGGTCAAAGTTTTCGTATCGTTTTCAATATATTTTGCTAGTCTAGTGAGCGATCCATTGTTTTCATTGTAGAATTGGTTTTATTTTTGGCATTTTAAAGTTTTCCAATTATGTGGATCGGATTTCGTCGAATCTTTTGATTGTTTGGTCTTGAAATTTGACTTTTGGGAGCAGAGTGTTTGAACCTTGTTCTGTTTTTTGCTAGAAATGTCCTGTTTAGGTCTTTACCTCATTTGAATTGTTTTCAACACTTCTTTCGGGTTATATTTTATTTGAATTTATCAGTATTGTGAAGATTTTTATGTGTTTGAGTTGAATTTCAAGTTTCACTTGATGTCATACAGTGTTTGGTTCATGAAATGTTTAGGTCTTCCATTTTCAGTAACTTTTTAGGGTTTTGCATTTCTTTATATGTACACAAACTAGCTTGTCTCTGATATTAACATGCATTCTCTGCAGAATCTGCCTCAAATTTTCCCAAGTTTTCTAACTTCTTTTAGATATGAATCTAATCTCTGATATTTCATTTTTTTGCTTTTTATCCAGTTGTATGTTGATACTGGCTTGTTTACATATTTTTGTTCCATTACTTCACTATAACTGTTCTGTTCTTAAACGTGATTTCTATCTCAGATATATTACTTACTCAAGGGAGGAGGAAGCAGTTCGATGTATTCAATTAGTGCATAGGTTTACCTTGGATGGTAGATCATTGAGGTGGGAAATGGCTACATTCAAGATTTATGTTCTATTCTGTATTCTCTTATGTAGGTGTTGGGCTTTCATTTTGCAGGGCATGCTTTGGAACCACAAAGTATTGTCATGCCTAGCTGAGAAATGTGGTATGATTTCTGAATTATTGATTGGAAATTGGACTAGTGGTTATAGGTGAGGATTGAAATTTTTTTGGTGCAGTCTTGCAGCAAATCTTGATTGTCTGTATTTGCATGAGATTGGCACACAAGAAGATAGTTTCACTAAAGATGGAATAATGTCAACATGCACAAGGTATTTTCATATTTTGATTACCCTCTGCTTTTCCTCTCATTTAATTAAAATATGGCCCTAAGTCCATACTATAAGATTCTGAATGAACGTTGTGAATAACACTTGAGTTTGTAGTGGTAGACTTGGGATTATTTTTCTGCGAGATAACTAAGAACGTCCCTGATGTGGATGTTATCTTTTTAAGCACCTTAATTGGTCACTGATACAACTATAATTAGCATCATTGGTGGCGGTGAGGCAAATCAGAAATACAAGATCTCCTTGGAAAATTTGTCTTAAAATGAAAAGGAATATAAACCTGAGACTAGGCCCATCAATGGACTATATTCTAAGCTGAATCTAATCCAATAATTTGTGGTTGAAATGTGATTATTCAATTACTATCAGAATCTAATAGGTCTGACTGTTAACAGATCAGACATGGATTTAGTTGATCTGATCTGTTAATGATTCTGTTCAATTACAAAGATGAATATGCTAGTTATAAAATGTTTCAGCTGTCAAATCCTAATTTATTGAATGGTGGCTTCTCCGTATACTGCAGAATAACAACACTTATTTGACTATAGGATTTTTTTTAACAACACTTGTTTAGAAACTTATATATGATATAGTTTTTGGGTAGTTTATAACTTTTTGGACAATTATAACTTAAGGATAGTTCTTTTTGGATGGTTTTGAATTAAGGCTAGTTTTTGGATGATTGGAATATATAGACAATTCCGAATCTATGTTGAGAGAGGAAGACAATAACTGGACCATGATTTTGTGTTCACTGGCTACCCAACTACATAATGATAGTAACTTGTATTCAGTCAGTATTTGAGAGTAGTATAGTATAGTGTAACCTGTATTCAGTCAGTATTAGATGGAGGAGAGACAATGCCTAAGAAGGTATGGTTTTGTAGTTAATAAAATGGAGAAAGATTCAAAAGAATGTTGGACTCAAATCTAACTCCATTCACAAAGACATTAAAATCTTCAAATCACTCAGGATTCCCATGGCAAAGGACCCAAGTGGTTACCTGACAGTTGATTCAATACCTAGGTGCCAATATTTTCTTTTTTTCACTTTATCGTTCATCTAACATCGATGTGGCGAGATTAATTTCCTGCAATATATGACTGATATATTTCCATGTTAGATGTTCATGATTGAGAAGTTGCATTGTAATGCATAATGTGGTACATTAGCTTAGGTAAATGCAATAGGACATGGATGTCTAGTTCATAATATTCTAAAAAGGGGCAAGGCTCCAATTTTACATGGACTGCACTTGGACTTCTGTAATTAAGTGTAGGATCAACATGAGTGTTCATTTCATGTTTCTCATTAGTTCATGACTATATGACATGTTTATTTAGGCTTTATTTGGTTTAGTAGTTAAGGGTGGTTTTGTTACTTTCAATTTTGCTAGATTTGGGTTGTAGAAGTATGGATCCATCCAGGGATTTTTTTCATTTTTTTTTTGTGAAATTGTATTTGTGTAGTTTTGCTTAACACTTGCAAAAGAGTAGTTGTACATATATTCAAATGCTTTCAAATGCAATGCACTCATCTCAACTTCTAAGTGAACGACAATGGACTATTTAAGTATCTGTTGAATGCCCAAATTCTTTATTTCTCTTCAAGATGACATCAATTGTTGTCTGGACATAAGTTCTTTCCTTGCATCATGAATGACAGATTTATCATATTCCACCACCGAGACTTGTTTGAAGCAGAGTTAGTCTGATTATTTATGCTGTGCAATGCTGTCTGCTCTGGTGGTTGTTGGTTTGTTTGTCTGCTGTGATGCTGTGGTGTTCATTCCCTGGTGGTTGTTGGTTTGTATGTTTGCTGTTGGCTGCTGTGGTGTTCATTCCCTGGTGTTTGTTGGCTGCGCTGACTGCTTATGTTGTGTGCTCTGGCTGCTGTTTTTTTGGTGCTCATGCTGCTGATGTTGTGTTTGTTGGTGTTTCTTGTCTTTCTTTATGTGTGTTAGTTTGTTAGTTTTGGTTTTCTTATGCTTGGGTGAGGTTGGCTTCGGTGTTTGTGGTTGGTTTCTCACCAACTCTTGATGGTGTGCTAGCATAAGATTGGGCGGCCTTATGGGTGCCAACCTAGTTGGGATTGATTTGGTTCGCTATGACTTGCACTCCAATTGGTACTTTTACCTCCTCTTCTTGTTTGGGATAATTTTATCTGCATTATATTCTATGTTCTAGTACTACTTATCATTTAACCTTTTTGATCTTTTGGGTTTTTGTCCATGATAATAGTGATTTCAGATTTCTTTTGAGGACCTTTTTTTTTTTTCTTAATTTTCTAGACATGGAATTTTTTTCTTATTATTCAAGTTGTCATTGTGACTGTTTATTTTTAGAAAAATTACCAAAAAGTGGTGAGTAGACAAACTAGTTACAATTTGATGGAAATTCAAATATAATTGTATTAGAGATGGAAACTTGTAATTTTATTCAAGTATAAATGTTAATCCTTCCCCATTTTTCTTTTTTCTCTCTTTACTTCCCCTCTCCTCACCCCATCTAATTTTCAGTTTTTGAGTTTTTCTGTTGTCGTTGATATAGTTTATATTCTCATCTTTTAGTTTCCATGATTAGTGTGTCATATGTCCAAGCATGGTCGACCATACTATGTTCCTCTAATTATATATATACACATATTTGAAGCTTTCAAGTACATTTTTCTGCTGAAGTTATTCATATATCCATAATAAATGTCTCTGTTAAATTGTTGATTTGCAGAAATTCACTGTACCTCAGAAATTCTTTAGTCATTTTTATGTGTTGGCTGTGGTGTGGACAACATTGTTGCTGGTCACAACTTGGTTTTATGCATATAAAGAGGCACCATTGGCCTATGGGCCTTTACGATACTCCACTATTGTCAACTACTTGACTGGGGGTTCGAATATCCTTTCTTTTCATAAATCTCATTCTTATTTGAGCACTATAAAATATAGATACAGGGTTTGGCAATCTGTATTTCTGCTCTTGTTGATGGAAGTTCAAGCATTGAGGCGCCTTTGTGAGACAATATATGTATTCAAGTACAGTCCCTCAGCTCGGATGCACATTTTTGGCTACCTTACTGGCCTATTGTAAGTTTCATGAGAATCTTATAAACTATTATATTAATTTGTAGTTCTCTTAATACATCTTCTATGGTTGTTGTAATTAAAATCTCCTTTATATCAAGAAGCAACTCCAATGATCAAAATATCCACCTGTAAACCCATGTTTTAGGGATTAACAAGTTGTGGCAGTGGATGTTATTTAGCAAGATGAACTATTTGATAATGATAGACTGTTTGTTTAAATGGCTGCATATTACTGGAAAGATGTGTGGCTGCTAATGCTAGCTTTTGTCATGTACTCTTGAATTTTTCTAGATGATTGTTTTGCACCATACCCTGCTTGTAATTGTTCAATTTCTAACTGCTTATGACTCTCTTTTCATGTATTTTATAACTACAAAGCTTGTAAAAGCAGAGTTACATCTTGATGATAATGGTTCTATTGCTCTTTTGCCACTTTCAGGTTGCCACTTTGACTTTATCTATGTTATTTTTTTATTGATAATCTTATAGAATCAGTCATTGATGCCTTATTTCGTTTTCTTTGTTTGAAGGGAACCAAAAATCAATCCCATACTGACCAAACTTTGTTGTGCGACCACATATCGTTCATCGAGATATCAAAGCTAGCAATATTCTCCTCGAGAAAGACTTGACACCCAAATTTCAGATTTTGGTCTACCAAAACTTATCCCAGCCAACATGACTCATGTCAGTACCCGTGTGGCAGGAACGATGTAAGTTCTAACAATAATGCATCCATTTTTTTAATCCATCTAATCATAAGAGTTCATCTTCATTACATTCTAACAATAGTGCAAATATGGACTTTACACTTTCTTAGGAATGTCTGTGTCTGTGAGTTGAATTTGATATGGAGGGAAACTAATATCTGTGCTGATCTCCTAGCTAAGAATGCAGCAGCTCGGCGTGAAACTTTTATGCTTATACATGATGCTCCCAAGACTCTTCTAATGTTATTGGCTAAAGATAGGATAAGTGTTGGGTGTTTGAGAATGGTGCATTTGTGATCTTTGCTTTCTTTTGTTTTGGCTTCAGCCATCGTTTGGGGAAAAGAAACCTTATAAAAAAGAGAATGTGATATAAATTTCCAAGTTCGTGATTAACTTCTTAGAACTGCAGATTTCCCGCTCATTACCATTTATGCCACACTTTCATCATTTGCATCGTTGTTTAGGATTATTTTCTTCACCTTCTTTATTTATTTATCCCTTTTCTATTTTAGATATATCGAACAGTATAAACATGTGCCCTGGTATTTCGTAGCTATTTTTGTGTTTTTTATGTGTTTGATGCAGCTACTGGTACCTTCAATTTTGCTGCTGCTAGTCTATTGCTGGTCTGCTGCTGCTGCCGGTGTGCTGCTGCAGAATTTTGCTGGGCTGCTGCTGCTGCTGCTGCTGTGATGTTGCTGTGAAGCGGGCTGCTACTAGATACTGGTCTGCTGCAAATTTGGGTTGTTAGTTTCATGTTTTCATTTTGTTATTTGCTGTTTTTACTATGGGTTCACAATTTGGATGTATTTGAGTATTTTAGTGAGTTTACCCTTTTAAGTTTTATACAACGCTTTCAAAAGCATATTTTTCAGTAGTGTTTTTTTGCCTACACATCAACTTTAGGTGATTTAATATCAATGTTATTTGTTTGTAATAGTAGTGCCTGAGGGATGCCTCTTGTAAATATATAAATCTTATAAAAAAATATATATGATTTTCAATTTTTTTGCCGCTACAAATTTGTCGTTGCCAAAAAGTAAAGCTTTCTCGACAAACAACTTGTCGGTAAATGTGTAGCCAAAAGTTTATTTTTGCCCACTCATATTATGTTGCTAAAAGTGTATTTTTTGCCAATGCCAATTTGTCGTTGCCAAAAGTAAAGCTTTATCGACAAACAAATCGTCGGCAAATGGCAACATTTATCGACGTAAATGTGTCGCCAAAAGTTTACCTTTGCCGACGCATATTTTGTTGCTAAAAGTATATTTTTTGCCCATGCAAATTTGTGTCGCGAAAAGTGCCACATAATCATTATATTTGAATGACTTTTACTGACGCAAGGTAAATTGCCGACGATGGATGAAGGCTTTTATCGACGACTATGTTCGTCGCTAAATGCATTACTTTTACCAACGCAATGATAATTTCGTCGGCAAAAACTTTTGCCGACTCACTTTTGCCTACGGGTTGCCAACGTAGCTTTGTGCGTCGGCAAAACTCTTTGCCAACGAATTTTCCCTTTTAGCAACATATTTTGTTGCGTTGCGAAAAATGTAATTTCTTGTAGTGCTATTTCTACTTATATTGTTGATTCTCTTTCTTTATGGCATGCTTGTTTAGATCATGTTAATACTAGGAAAATGCATGATATGGTTAATTTAGATTTAATTCCTAAGTATGACATTGATATGTTTGAAAAATGTAAATTTTGTATGCAATCTAAAATTACTCGCATTTCATTTCCTAAAGTAGATAAAATCACATATCTGCTTGAACTTGTGCATAGTGATATATGTGACATGCATAGTACCCCCACTAGAGGTGGTAAGAAATATTTGTAACATTCATTGATGATTTTTCTAAGTACAGTCATATTTTTGTATTCAAAAGATGAGTTGCTTGATAAATTCAAGATTTTTAAGACAGAAGTAGAAAATTAGTGTAATGTCAAAATAAAAAGACTTAGATCTGATAAAGGCAGTGAATACCATTTTCCAGAATATTATGAAAATGTTGGTATTATTCATGAGAAGTCTGCACCCTACACACCACAACAAAATGGAGTAGCTAAAAAAAAGAATAAGACATTAACAGAGATGAATGCTATGCTTTCTTACTCCAGTTTAAATTCTGATTTTTGGGGTGAAGCCTTGCTCACTGCCTATCACATACTCAATAGAATTCCTCTCAAGGGAAGAAATGTTACTCCTTATGAACTTTGGAAAAACAAGAAACCTAATCTAGGTTACTTGAAAACATGGGGTTATAGAGCAATAGTTAGATTGCCTAAACCTAAAAGGAAGAAATTAGGTGAAAAAGGAATTGAATGTGTATTCCTTGGCTAAAGTATATAGGTTTCTGATAGTAGAGCCCAATGGTTCAGTGGAAACAAATACCCTCATTGAATCGTGTGATACGGTATTTTATGAGAATTGTTTCACAACCATTCCAAGGTTGGATTTTAATTAATGAAATGAATCAACTCCTTTGATATCTACAGAGAAAAGTGAACGACATGAACCCATTGAGCCTAATGAACCTAATGAGCCTATTGAGTTAAGAAGGAGTAAGAGGGTTAGGACTAAGAAGTTATTTGGCCCTGATTTCATTGTTTACCTTGTAAAAGGAACTAGGAAAGCTTATTATAAGCAAACAATGATTTCTTTGAATATGGATTCAGATCCATTAACCTTTGAGGAGGCTATGAAGTCTCAAGATATTGCTTTCTGGAAAGAAGCAATAAATGATGAGATGGATTCTATCATGGGTAACAATACCTGGATACTTATTGATTTGCCAACTAGATCCAAACCAATTGTTTGTAAATGGATTTTCAAAAGGAAAATAAAAGTTGATGGCATAATTGACAAGTTCAAAATAAGATTAGTTGCTAAGAGTTTTACTCAAAAAGAGGATATCGATTATTTTGATACATATGCTCTGGTGGCCAGAATCACCACCATTCGAGTGTTGATTGCCTTAGCCTTAATCTACAAGCTTGAAATCCATCAAATGGATGTTAAGACCGCTTTCCTAAATGGAGAGTTAGATGAGGAAATCTACATGCAATAACCGGAAGGATTTGTTGTACAGAGTCAAGAATACAAAGTATGTAAACTCATGAAGTCACTATATGGACTAAAACAAGCTCCAAAACAGTGGCATGAAAAATTTGACGAAGTATTAGTGTCAAATGGTTTTAGGATACATGAATCTGATAAGTGTGTGTACAGTAAGTTTACTGGCCATGGAGGTGTAATCATATGCCTATATGTAGATAACATGCTTATTTTTGGTACTGACAATGATGTCATTGAAAGTACTAAAAGTTTATTGTTGCCTAGCCTTAGTATGAAAGACATGGGCTTGGCTGATGTAATTTTGGGTATTAAAATCAAATGAGAGGACAATAATTTGATTCTTACCCAGTCGCATTATATTGAGAAAATTCTTAAGAAATTTAATCAATATAATTGTACACCCATGTCTACACCTTTTGATTCAAATTTGAAATTGTATCCTAATACTAGAAGAGCTGTTAATCAGCTAGAATACTCAAGACTGATAGGTAGCCTCATATATACCATGACTTGTACTAGACCTGATATTGCGTTTGCAGTGGGAAAACTTAGTAGATACACTAGTAATCCCAGTAGTGTGCATAGGCATGCTATTAACCGTATACTTAGGTACTTGGGGAAAACGATAGCCTATGGAATAGTCTATAATGGCTATCTAGCAATGCTGGAAGGATTCACGGATGCTAGTTGGATAACTGAACGTGAAGATCACTCATCCACAAGTGGTTGGGTTTTTACTTTTGGAGAATGAGCTATCTTTTGGGGTTCTAAGAAGCAAACATGCATAACAAACTCAACCATGACATCAAAGTTTGTAGCATTGGCTTCTTGTAGCAAAGAGGTAGAGTGGCTAAGGAATCTCTTGTTAGAGATTAAGATATGGCCAAAACCTATGCCACCAATATCTTTGCATTGTGCTAGTGAAACAATTCTATCACGGGCCTATAGCTATGTATAGCGACCCCGGTCTTTTCCCATTTGATTATTGTATCCGGACTGTTCCGTAGATTCTGTCATTGTATAATTGTTGTTGTTGTTGTTCCTTATTTTCTCTTTTGGAATTATAGGATGTGTTGGGCAAGTTTGTTCAGGTTGGTTGAGTTTAGAAACCAAGTGTTGCTGTCCAGAATTTTGGTTATTCGCTCGAGCGAGGAGTTTGTCGCTCGAGCGAGATGTTGTTTTGGTTCTTCGCTCGAGCCGGGGTTTGGTAGCTCGAGCGAGAGTTTGCGTCTGGGTTGGACCTGTAGCTTTGCATTCTTGGCTTTGAGGGCGTTACACTATGTCTATAATGGAAAGTCCAGGCATATAGGATTGAGACATAGTTGTCATGACCCGAACCTGCTCCCGTGGGTTAAGGACATAACCGGCCAGTAATCATGAGATTACCTACGGCCTCAAACAAAACCAGACGTATCTTAACAGAGTTAACGGTGCCAAACGGAAGCAATTTAAAACTTTGTCCATAGAGCTGTGCTTACATGGCACGTCATAACAAACCATACATAGGTACATTAATAACTCACAACAGAAGTACAGTACCATAAAGTTCTGTACAGACAGGATCATCCAAAACTAAGTCAACCCATGAAAACTATATACAGACACGTTCAAAGACTTTGCCAACATGACAACATAAAACAAAGTGACAAAAAGGCAAAGACGAGTCTCGTGCGTGAGACACAAAGGCTGACTCTTCAAAACCTTCGTTGTTCCATACATACTTCACTAGGGCTGGGTTTGGACTTCTCTTGACTCACCTACAAACACATGAATGAGCGTGAGCGATAGCCTAGTGAATAATATTAAATAAGGGAATCATACAAACAGTACGTGGAACATCATGCTTCAAACGGCCTTGGGCCCAATTCATATTTCTATTTAACATACATATATACACAATTTAAGTCAAGTGACTGTGGTTCCAAACATACTGGCCTTTGGCCCATTTATCTTCCATTTATCAAACTGGCCTTTGGCCCATTCAACTTTCGTTCATGTCAAACTGGCCTCTAGCCCATTCATGCATGTCAATCGGCCTTCAGCCCAATCATTCATGTTAATCGGCCTTCAGCCCAATCATTCATGTCAATCGTTGTCCACCATTCAAATTAATGAACTTACAAAACTTACATAGAAGTAGACAATTGGACAACAATATATTTAAAATATCTTGTTAAGATATTACTCACAGTGATCGGTTGGTTGGTTTGCCCTGGAGCTCGACCCTATACATTCCATGAACACAAAAGGGTCACAAACAATTCAATCCGTTCTAAACTCACATTTTCTTCTTTAGGCTTCATTCTTATCTATTTAACTCAATTACAGGGTTTAATGCATGCCTAAGAGTACTTAGAAGTGAAAGAAGACGGAAAACGAAACTCAGAATGCCTTTTCAAAATTTCAAAAAATAGGGTCCCCGCTCG